GAGGCTGGCTTTGAAGTAGTGATCCTCCTGCCTCAGCCTCCTGAGCCACTGGGATTACAGGAGTGTGCCACCACAGCCAACTTTATGCCATTTTTTTTAAGCCTGAAAAAATACATGCATAAGCTGATCAAGTTGCTTAAGAAAATCATCTCACAAGGGCCATGAGGGACAATGCAGTATGATGAAAAAGAAAAGGAAATGGAAAAGTCCATCAAACTCTCAATGGCAAAATGATAGCATAATTTTATTTTGGAGAGAATTGGAGGGTTCTTGAGATTCTTTTCAATTTCATCATAAATGAACTCACAGAATATTTCAAATATCAGTTTTATAAAAGGTTAGCTGATGTTTTTGCACAAGGCAACGCCAACTAACATATTCTTTCATGTAGTTAAATTTTTAATACAATCTTATGACAGGAAAATGATGATGGAGCCTGATACCCTCACCACTAATTCAAATTTGTAGAAAACCAAATTTTATTTCATGTGAGTCATTCAGAATTAAAAAATATTTTCTTTTAAAGTGTTTCTTTATGGCAGCATGTGACTTTTGGCCCAGAGAAAAATAGTGAGCAAAGTAATATCTGTGTTTCATTAAAGATGTGTCATCTTATCTTGACCCCATTGGACCCAAATCCATCAAACTGCATGCTCAAGAGGAAACTAATTATCCAAGTCATTTCATCTGTAATTAAAATGATATTTTAATAAACTTTTATTTGATAAACATTTTACTATAAATCATTTAATTATCTTTTCTAATTGTTATGGAAAAGCTCAAATACAAAAGATAAAAAATAACCATTCAAAATGGAAGTTTGAACAATAGTATAAGCAGGTATCTATATATTTTTTCTTAAATCAGAATCACAAGTTTGAGCAGACCCTGGGCAACTTAGGCTCTATTTAAAAAATAAAATAAAAATTGGGAAAACAGCACTGTGATAGAGCATCCTTGGGTTTAATTCCCAGTATTGAAAGAAATTATAGTAAAAATCTATCAAGTCATTTATGTAATTTTAGACCTTTATTGCACTTTGCTTATTTATAGAGTATCTGTTATGTCTAAATTATATGCAAGATGATGTATGAAGTTTTGAGATAGAGAAAGGTATGATTCAGTCCTTGTCTTTGAAGAGTTTGTAAAGTGTGACAATATATACAAATAATCTATCACATTACATTATATGACATTATACAATTATGATAATTAGAAATTCCAACTCAGGAGCTTTATGAGGTGATGATAAACTAGATGGAAATCCAGGTTCAAGTTCAAATTCCCCATGAATCACCCTATAAAAGTTTTTACCCTTGTACTTCATTTCCCCATTTTACATAAAAGTCACAATCATGTTAACCTTAAAGGAATGTTAAGAGTGATCATATAAAAAAAGACAAGTCAAAATGCTTTGAAAAACATAACTTTCTATGAAAATGTCAAAAATTCCATTGTACTTCAGGAAAATTTATGACATCATTTAATCACTTTTTCTTAGGCTTTCAATTTTAACCCAGAAACAAAACGTGAAGTCATAAAATACAGAAGATAATTTAAAAATTTGAAATAGAATCTTTAGTTTTCTCTTCTCACTCTTCAAGTTTTATTCTATCCAACCTCTCTAACTGATCTCTGAAAGGTGAGTTGAGCTGATTAGTTTGGCTTTTAATAACAGGGTTTCAGAAAAATATCTCAGAACCACATTTTGAATAAATCACATTGTTGTGTCTCCTCCCTCAACTCCCACTCAAAAAAAGGTGACTATAGGAGTCATTTTTCTGTCATCATTTAGTTCAATGAAATCATGTGGATTTCTTTTTTCCAATCAACAAAATAATTTAAAACATGTGGTCAAATTCTATACACGCTTAGCTAATACTGGCAAGAACAATGGGTAGCAACCAGGGCACAGAGCAAATATGTTCAGTCAAGATGATGAAAAAAAGGGATTAATTTTGGTTTTGGCCCATTTTTCCTTTATTAACTTGAGAATTGTCCAGATTTTCATTTATCTTTGAAGATACAGATTTCTGGGTGGTTATTTCATTTAGTCCAGTTCAGCTTTAAAAATAGGCAAAGAACATATTTTTTTTCAAAAAATCATATTGTCCTATTTGTGTTTTAATTTAGTAAATGATGATTTTGTAAAAATGTATTTGGTTTACTAAAATGATAATTTTGTGAAGATGTAGAGGAAGAGTGTCTACTCAGAAATTCCTCTGGGGCCTTTGTGGCTCTACATGGAGCACCTCCTTCTTTGAGAGGGAATTTTATTAGCGAGATAGGAGATGGTTTCCAAAAATAGCATGAGTACTCTGTTCCTTATCTTTGAATCCCGTTATTACGCATGTTCACAGCTCCTTCCTTGAGTTGACTACTTCCTCATTTCTTGAATCTGGGCAAGACTTGTGGTTTGCTTAGACCCAATAACATACAGTAGAAGAAACACTGCACAAATACTAGCCAGGCCCCAGGAAGCCTTGTATACATTGGCTCTTTCTCTGAACATTGTGTCAATTGCTGTTAGAGTCTGACTCCTGGCATTTTGCCAGAGGGAGTGGTTTGTGAAGTAACACCAGCGAGCCATTAAGTGTGGAGATTTCTGATTGGTTGACTGCTGTATCTATTTATGTTAATTAAGATAAGCTGCATGGAATGTATATATACCCCTCCGGTCCTACCAATAAATGGCTCCCACTCCTGCTGTATCAATCTACACAAGTTGTTCGTCACCCCTGGTTATTTTGCTGCAGCCGGACTGCGGCAAGTTGCCATGGGCAGAAGCCTGGGCTAGCTTGTGGAGCAGACAAGCCATCCTAGATGAAGTCACCAGCCCTTAGCCAACTCATCAGCTGAGTTAATCTGCAAATAAGAACTTTCTAGCAGAACACAGCTTGAATAGCAAGAATGGGCTAGGTACGTGGGTGCTCTTTTTAGCCATTAAGTTAGGGAGTGGGTTTTCATGTAGCAATAACTGATAAAAATGACAGCCATGTCACACTGTGGGAGAACACCATCTTGTGTTCCCTGATTTCTTTTTCTTTTTTTAACTCTCTTACCGGGGATATATATACAAAAAGATATCAGGTTATACTGCTGTCTGTCATGGCAAAGCAAAAAGTACCAATAATTATTTCCAGGAAGAACAAATAAATATTTTTTTAAAAAGATACATGAAAATGTCCTATCCCTCAGCAATTCTGATATTCAGAATTCAGGCACATAAATGTTGTGTTTGGATTGTGTTTGAAGAAAAAAATTACATATGACACATTAGCTGGTGAAATATGTAATCTTATACACTCAAAATATAGAAGGATTTGGTCCTTGGCCTGCTTTGTGGAAAATATGTTGAAGCTCACCTTACCCCAGGTGGATGGTGGAGGGCTGGATAATCCGTGTGAAAGCTTAGCTTCCCAGTTGTGTAAGCCACATTGTTTGCATCAATTTTGTCTTGCACTTGCCAAGTATGTCTGTAAAATACAAGAAACACATGTTTAAGCAGATTGTCATGAAGCCAGAAGCCAGAGCAAATGTGTTAGAATGAATTAGATATGGAGGGGGATGATAACTTTTCATTTTATGAAATAATTAACGTAATGACTATGAACCAAAAAGGTTGTGTAATATTCCTATGGCTGAAGTAATATAATTAGCATCTCCTCATTTTTCCCCTCAACAAAACCACATCTTCACACTAGTTTATCCTACAGAATTCATAAAGAAATAAATGTGGGATTGTAGGTCATCTTTTTTTTTTAAATAGCTTGATGCATATAACAAAATGAAGCTTTTTTGATGGGGGGTTACTGAGGATTGATCTCAGGGGCACTTGCCCACTAAGCCACATCCCTAGCCCTATTTTTTATTTTATTTAGAGACAGGGTCTCACTGAATTGCTTACCACCTCACCATTGCTGAGGCTGGATTTGAACTCAAGATCCTCCTGTATCAACCTCTCAAACTGCTGGGATTACAGGCATGTGCCACTGCACCCAGTATAAAATTAAACTTTTTAAAGTGAGCAATTCAGTTGAATTTAGTACATTCACAAGTGGGAACCATCACTACTATAATTACTATATATCTGGTTGTTTTGTTTGGCTTTTGGTGGGAGCATGCTTGGGATTGAACCCAGGGCCTCATGCATGCTACATGAGTGCTATATCACTGAGCTGCATCCACAGTCCCTATATCTTAAGTTTTAAAGCATTTCAATCGTTCTTAAATAAAACCACTTTTTCAGTAAGAAGTTTCTTGTTCTTCCCGAGGTCCTTGGCAGCTATTCATCTGCTTTTTCTCTTTATACTTATTTTTAATATTTAATATATATGGAATTATACAGTATGTGATATGTTTGACTTCTTTCACTTAGCATATTTTCCAGATTTCTCAAATTGTAGCATGTACTAGTATATAATTTCTGTTCATGACTTAATACTTTATTGTACAGATAACCACAATTTGTTTATCCATTCACTTACTGATGGATATTTGGGCTGCTTCTACTTTCTAGTTGTTGTAAATAGTGCTAATGGAGCACAGAACATGTATATGCAAATACTTATTTGAGTTTTCAGTTTTTTGGATATGTACATAAGAATAGAATTCTGGGATCATATCATAATTCAGTGCTTAACAGTTTGAGGAACTGCCAAGTTGTTCTTCATAGCATCCATATCATTTTTATATTACAACTAGCAATGTGTGAGAGTCTCATTTTATCTATATCTTCACCTATACTTTTAATTTTCTTTATTAAAAAAAAATTGTTGCCAGGCATGGTGGCACCCACCTGAAATCCCAGTAACTTGAGAGGCTGAGGCAGGAGGATGGTGAGTTTGACGTCAGCCTCAGCCACTTAGTGAGATCCTTAGTCACTTAGTGAAACACCATCTCAAAATTAAAAATGAATGAATGAATGAATGAATAAACAAATAGGACTGGGATGTAGCTCAGTAGTAAAGCACTCCTAGTTTCAATCCTCAGTATCAGGGGATAAAAACTTATTATAATCTTTCTAATGGGTATGAAATTGCATCTCATTGTGGTTTTCATTTGCTTTTTCCTGATGAGTAAACATGTTGAGTATTTTTCATGTACTTCTTGGCCTTTTGTAGAGCTGTTTATTCAAGTCTTTGCATTTATTTTGGTACTAGGGATTGAGTCTTGGGGCACTTTGACACTGAGCTACATCCCCAGGCCTTTTCATTTCCTATTTTAAAACAAGGTGTCACCAAGTTGCCCAGGCTGGCCTCAAACTTGTGATCCTCCTGTCTCAGCTTCCTGAACATCTGAGATTACAGGTATGTGCAAACATGCCTAGCCCTTTGCTCATTTTTAAATTGAACTTTTTATTTAGTAGTAAGGGTTCTTTATGTAGCCTAGATATTGAACCCTATCAGACATGGGATTTGGGATTATTTTCACCTCTTCTGTGGGTGATTTTTAATTTTTTTTAACTAATGTCCTTTGATGCCCCAAAGCTTTAAAATGTGATGAAATCCAATTTTTCTATTTTTGTTGTTGCTTATGTTTTTGATGTTGTATCTTTGAATTCATTGCCTATTTGATGTCATGGAGATTTTCCTCTAAGATTTTTATGATTTTAAATCTTATATTTCTGTTATGGATTCATTTTGAGTTAATTTTTGTATATGATGTGAAGCACAGTCCAGCTTTGTTCTCTTGCATGTGGATATTCAGCTGTCCCAGCACCAAGCTCCTATAGATGCCCTGTCCCAGTTACAATCCCTTCTCTCTTCTTCAAGGTAGCCACAGCTGTGACTTCTATTGTTGCAATTTCTTTGCACTTTCTTAGAGTTTTATCACCCGAATGTGCATCTCTCAACACAGCTTAAGCTTGCTCAGAAAACAACTGTTATACATTTTAAATCTCTTAATCTACAACTTTTCCTTCCAAGCTGTTCTTCCAAGTTATTGTTTGAAGATCAAAGGGAATTTGACCTATCGAGTGCCCCTGTCTGGACTTTGCTGGCTGCACACCCACAGTGATATTTGACAGTTTCTCCTGTCTTCTGTGTTCCTGAAGAATTGGCAGTTGGAAGCAGAGGCTTTGACAGACTCTATTCTCTCTCTTTGGTAAAACTGTAGGTGGTGCTTGTGTGTGTGTGTGTGTGTGTGTGTGTGTGTGTGTTTTCTAAAAGTTGTAATGTCTGCATTCCTTTTTGTGATATTTGTACACGTTCATGCTCAAATTTTGAAGTACAAACTGATAATTTATTTTTATTTATCAGGTGGATTACTTTTAAAAATAACCTGCTTTTCTCTAACCTGCTATTTGGTGACACTATATAATGTCTTATATAAAGATGATTAGATAAAAACTCGATGCCATCTCTTTATTTACCATTTGTAATATAATCAATTTGCTTCCTACCATGCCAAATTTAACAATAAGTTCTTTAAAAGATAACATTATTGATAAACATGTATTAAAACTAAATTGAGTAATGTTTCATAAAATTGTGAATGTACTAAATGACACAGAACAGTCACGAATTAAGAAAAAAATCCCTAGTCTTAAAAGTATAAAAACTAGGGGCTGGGGATGTGGCTCAAGCGGTAGCGCGCTCGCCTGACATGTGTGCGGCCCGGGTTCGATCCTCAGCACCACATACCAACAAAGATGTTGTGTCCACCGAGAACTAAACAATAAAAAACGTTAAAAATTCTCTCTCTCTCTCTCTCTCCTCTCTCACTCTCTCTTTAAAAAAAAAAAGTATAAAAACTAGGTAATTATAAAAAGAACCAAGGGTTACTTGCAATTCCGTGGCAAGAAAAGTAAATCATTATTCAGACTTTGCAAGGTGTTTCTCTTTGAAGATTGAAACAATGGGTACTTGGGAAGAAGCTATGTTTCAAAATATAGCTTTAAAAGAGTTGCTACATAGATATGCCATTTTATTTCTGTATAATGTCTACTTATTAACTTATGTTTGTAGTTATCAAATCATTTTTGAATAAATATATTTAACAGATATGCTATTCCTGACGTGGATTCTGCATTAGCGATAGCACAAGGCAGCTGGGTGTAATCCCAGTGATTTGGGAATTGAGGCAAGAGGATCACAAGTTCAAGGTCAGCCTGGGTAACTTGGAAAGACCCTGTCTCAGAATAAAATATAAAGAAGGATGGGGATGTAACCCAGTATGAGAACACTCCTGGGTTTAATCCCCAGTACTACAAAAGAAAAAAAAAAAGAGAGAGAGAGACAACTTAAGGAAGAAAAAAGACAAATATATAATTACAAAATTTTAGAGATAAGCACTATAATGAAAGTAAGCCAAGGTAAAGAGAAGATGTGGGTATGGGGGGGGTGCAGAGATGATGCTTTGGTAACTATATGGTAAATAGTTGACATTTTTTAAAAATGCGGAAACCCAAATATATTAAGAGAAGGAGAAATGTGAAATCCTGGGAGCTGTATGTTAGGCAGAGGAACCCTAAATGAAAAGGAGCTGAGTTTGGAATGTGCCTGGCATGTCTGTGGGAAAGCAGGGAGAGTGTGGCTGCAGCAGAGCTGCCAGGGAATCCGGAGGGGAAAATTCATCAGATGCACCGGGGATGTCAGATCCTGAAGGGCTGGTGGACTAAGCTAAGGATTTGTGATGGAAGACTCCGAGTTTCTCCACTGTGAAAATTATACTGAGTAGTTGTTTTACAGAATTGCTTTGTTGTTGAGCGGGGAGGGGAGTAGATGATACTGGGAAAAAGATGCCAAAAAAGAGAGATGATGGTGACCAAGACTAGAGCAGAAGCCATCATAGGAAAGAATGGCCAGGTTTGAATTTTGAAGTTAGAATTAATAAGGTTCTTTTACGAATTGGATGTAGGATGAGAGGGAAATGGAGTCCAGAATGATGCCCAGGTTTTCAGCTTGAGGAACCAGATAGAGAGTGGTCCCATTTACTGAGATTCACTCTGCAAAAACACACCATCAGGTTGGAGGAATCCATTTCTATTCTTATTCTTTTTGCAGAGTTACAGGAGACAGAAATCAAGAACATCCTATCATAGGCAGTTTGATTCACGTAATTTAAATGACTTTATTTTGGTGCTTTAAAAAATTCTTTATTCACCAGAGATATGAAAATTTGTGTTTTATATGTATAATAAGAATTGTAATACATTCTGCTGTCATCTATATATGACATTGCCTATTTGATGTCATGGAGAATTTTCTCTAAGACTCTTCTATGAAAAAAAGAATTCATAGGTCCATGTATGTTATTGAAAAAAAATTCTTTATTCAGGCCAGGTGCAGTGGTGCATGCCTGTAATCCCAGCAGCTCCGGAAGCTGAGATAGGAGGATCTCGAGTTCTAAGCCAGCCTCAGTAAAAAGCAAGGTGCTGAACAACTCAGTGAGACCTCATCTCTAAATAAATACAAAATAGAGCTGGGGATGTGGCTCAGTGGTTGAGAACCCTTGAGTTCGATTCCCAGAACTA